TCGTGTTAAATGCTCAATCATACGATCTAAGAATGTTGCACAAATTTAATATAAGTTGAATTTTAAAACATTGCCTTGAAAAGAATGCTAAATACATTAAACGCACTAAAACTATAAATTGTGAATATCTATGTATGCTCCGACGATCGCTCTGAATATCTAAACTTAGCATCTGAAAATATAATTTGGATTAAATGAGAGCTCAAATTAAGTACGGCCTAAGATGTGCATGCCATTAAGGGTCTGTATGGGGGCAGCTTTTTGACTGCTTTGCTTTTCAGACTGCCACCATAATTCTGTTTTGGGAGCTGCTTTCTTGTTGTTTTTATTTCTGTGGTATGGAGCTGGTTTTTTCAACCTAAGTTGTTACAGTGTAGTAGATGTCGGAAAGCTGTGGCCTGACTTTTTGTAAAAAAAATAAATTTGTAATAGTCACAGTTGTTTTTAAAAAGTAGTTTCTCTATCAAAAGTTCACAGGTGCTTTTTCAAACAGATACAGCTGACCCAAACATACCCTAAAATTCGCATGAGCTCCGACATTATCCTAAATGCTTAAATTTAAATGCTTGACAATATGCAAGATAAAAAATAAAATCAAAACACATTGTCTTTGCTTCAAGAAACGTGTAAACAATTTGAAAATGAGATTACTTGGAAAATTTCAGACATAATTTAAAAAAAAAAATAAAATTCAACTTTAATAATCACACGCTCTCGAACAAATAATCATATTTAAAAGACGAAGCTATAAGTCGCACCTGACAAGTATGATCTTCCTCCAAACAACGAGCAAAGTCAACAAGACCGAGCTCCCACTTAACTAATTCAATCAACTTTCTCGTAAAAACCCGAGTTGATGAGACAGATGTATGTGTAAAATTAAAAATAATAAAACTCAAATTAATTTAATATATAAGTAATTTAAGCTCCAATTTCTCTGATGATACTTGTGTTGAATATGAATCTCAACAAAAGAGATCTATTTTCAAAATTAAACCAAACAAAATTTGAATAAACTCAATTAATATTGGTTACGAACCTGATTCTATGTAAGTGCGATAGAAACTATATGGTTCAAAGTTATTGAATCTCAATTATAATTGTATTGAAAGTGAAAGTAAGATTTATTTGCAAAATTAAATTTCAAAGAATATTTGAATAAACTAAATTAATATATGTTATGACATGTTTTTTTGTAAGCAAGAAAAATTCAACAAAATTCAAAGTTATCCAAATCCTTGATGAATCTCAACCGAAAGGATCTACCATTAATATGAATTTTTTTGTTAGAAATGCAGAATCTTAAGTTGAAAATTATAAAGGGCAATTACAAAACTTAGTTACAAACCCGATCCTCTATGAATGAGAAAGAGTTAACAGGGACTGTAATTTTAGAAATAAACTTAGCTCTACAAACTCAATCTTTTGCAACAAGAAACAAAGTTAACGAGGTTTAAATCAAACCATTAAACCTCCTCAATGATGGTCATGTTGAAAATAAATCTTAACCAAAAGGAATATTTTTATTAAAAATATATTAAATTCTAATAAAATTTTGATATTTTTTAGAAAATTCATAAAAACTTTAAAAATCTAAAAACATTCAAATAAATCTACTACTAAAAGCTTAAAACAAATTCTCATCCACCTAAAACAGAAGTTTAAGGCAACAAATTTATGATTAATCTGAACAATAAGAAGCCAATATCATATCAATTATATTGCAATATTTACTCTTAAATCAACCTACATCAATAAGAAGGTGGCCTGAGTCCCATGTCGATGTGATTTGGCCTATCGACTCCATAATATAGAGGTTACAACTAGAGCCCTCTATATGGCCGGTTTGGCCATACAAGCTCCATTATATTAAAGTCATGACTATAACTTAGTATGTTCCATGATGACTTTTTGTCTCTTGAGATATCAATTACAAGGGGTAATTAATAAGGCATAAAGTCCAATGTCAGCTAAGGTTGACTTCAATTAGTCACTTTAAACAAATACCTATCTTAGGTAAACAAGGTCCTTTTAGTTAAAACTCCATGATGACTTTTTGTCTCTTGAGATATCAATTATAAGGGGTAATTAATAAGGCATAAAGTCCACTGTCCGCTAAGGTTGACTTGAATTAGTCACTTTAAACAAATATCTATCTTAGGCAAACAAGGTCCTTTTAGTTAAAATGGCGCATAGTGTTGATAAGGATTCTTAAGCCAGGTTGGGTCGTCTTAACTCATCTAACTAATTAGACCAAAGACCATGACAACTTGAGATGATGAAACCATGATATCCTGATAGGGTTGTCCTCGTTCTCCAAATCATCCAAGCTTAAGCTTATAGGGATACATTTCTACAATCTAAAATTCTTAATTGCTCCTAATATACACTGAACGATCAACCCACTATTGACTAGCCTTAATAGAAAATACTCTCCCATTATCAAGAAAAGTAAATAACCATAGAGCCTTGTACCTATAGGAAACTTCGAATCTCAAATCTTAAGAGCCCTTGTAAAATAAGTGAAATCTCACGGTAATGCCTTTTTAAAATTTGACCAGAAAACTATAAAAACTCTCATTCATTTCGAGAAAGGCTGATATGCAAAATTTTGGAGCCCATAATACATAAGAAGCATGCTCGAGTAATTAGCCAAAAAATATTAATTTGCAATGGAAATAATAAACTTCCTTTGCATTGTAGTCCCTTCATTCATGTGTGCTTGGGTATACCCAAATTGCCTTGATTTGTGGGTGCATCTTACTTTAGTGACCTTAAAAACTTTCATTTCAATTTAGACTACATTCACATATGATTGGGACCTAGCCAAATTGCCTCGATTTGCCATATGTAGCCTTTAGCACGGCCAACAAGTCATTGGCCCTGCTTAAGGGCTCTTTGTATCATCAAAACAATACGAAAAAACCCCTACAAGTGACTCTGAAATACACCTTCATAACCTTTACATGATCACATGCCCACATTAATTTAAAAGTATAAAAAAAAGGTAAAAATTGAAAATTTCATCGTTTCGGACTTCAGTCCAACATTATTTAGAGCTAAAGATGCCTCAAATCATGGCTTATGAAGGGAGAGGAAGGCTCAGGTAAAAAAGGGAAGACTTTAACTAGATTTTCTGAATTTAAAAAATTTGTAAAGCATGAGAAAAGGCATTCTTTTATAGAGACAGGGCTAACTTCCCAAGTGATCCCCCAACTATTTGAATGTGGTCAATTAAGTTTCAGAATATATATTTCTTCAATTTAGTCCATCAACCATGTAAATTTGATCCAAAATGATCCTTCCTAGACTAAATTGGGATTAATTTCTATGGATAGACTAAATCGGGATCATTTTTTAGTCATGACATTTACACGAGATTATATTGAATCGAATTTGTATAGTCAAAAACTAAATTGAAGAAATGTGAAACTTTGGAACTAAGTATAAAAACAAATGGGGGACTATCTAAGGATTTATTTCTATAGAATTACCTTTGAATGGCACACCAAACAAGATAGAAACTGGAATATAATACTTACTATTTCATGCTCTTTTGCTTAAGTTTTAACAACTGAAACTTTCAAGACTTCACATATATAGGTACTAACAATGCACAAACTTATTTGCTTAATGAAAGAGATTCCTTACATTACACTCATAATTTTACAAATATATATGGACTGTGCTAAGATCCATGTACGTCATTTCTAGTGTGGTGCCCCATGCACGTCTTCCTTGACAGGATAGCGAGGTTCTCCCATTTAAATTTTTATCTTCTTATAAAATTGTGTTAATCACAACAGTGAATTTCAAGGCCCATAATATCTTTATTTGTGTTGTGAGAAATTATAATTTCGGCTCAATTCTAAGCACCACCTATTCATATTTTTCTTAAACTAGGATATGTAGATAGAGAAAATTTATTAAGAAACATTTAATTCTATATCATCCATATTAATTTTGGAACCTATGAAAAAAATTTTATATTTTCTATTTCGAGACAATATATTATTTTCATCAAGAAGTGTTCGATTTAAAAATTTCCCTTCATCTGAATGTAATACTCTTCATGCACAATACAAATAAGCAATCATGCTTGATAACACCTCCATACTCCAAAATGATCTCAACTACAACTGTTGTGGCACCGTAAATGCAAAAACTATGTGAAAAACGAAAACAACCATCCTTCATAGAAGCCAACAAACCCGCTTACAAGTGTCATCGATGAATCTCAAGATGTTTTGCTTCGAGTATCCACCAATAGTCATTGCTGCTCACATTGTCTCCGTACATATGCCTGCCTTGTTCTACATGTTCATATTCAAAAATCAAGGCAATCAAGTTAACTGAAGTACCACTCTGACAGAAGCTCTCATACATCCTTTTATATTTAGAGTCATTAATTTTATTTCTATGCTTTGCCTCTTTTTCAATGATAATTAATGCATCATAAAAGTGAAATAATGCATTATTATTCAACTATAAAAATTGATGCATCAAGAACACTAGCTTAACCAAATAATTTCCTCAACACGAAATTTTTATCATCCAGACAGCTTGACCCTGCTGAAAGGCTTAGCATAGCTTACCTTACCTTACCTCAAGTCTCAAACAAATAGACCATGAAAAGGGAGGGAAATGAAAAACCTATCATGAACCATACATGCATAAACTAAATTTTGATGAAAAAAAGATATTCTAGAAAAAGTCGATTACTGCAAATAAGTATTTTACTTATCAATTAATAGATCATATTTGCCTTCTCTATCATCCCTATTAACAGGAGCATGTAAATAATAAATATAAGATTCATGAAATTGCATAGCACATTGCTTATATGATATCTCAAGCACGCATCTGGGCAATGTGTTGACTAATATAGTTCCTGATGTCCCTCTCTACACTGTAGATGCACCAACTAACAATAGAAGGTACTGCAAATTAAACACCTTTGATGCATTTCTACATAAGGTGGAGAGATGAAAGTAACGTACCCATTTCATATTCCAATGCTTGAAGAATCATTTCCACCTGTGACAAATAATAAAATGTTAATTCATTATAAGTTAACAAATATGTGATGCAACTCATTATTGGCTTCTATTTGTGTACGTGCCTCCTAAGTTGAAGTGAGAGGAAAAAACTCTCAGGGGAAACCAGAACATTATAATAGGAGCCAGTGAAAAAGTGAATTGGCTCTAGGTATATATCCTCATTAACAAGAAAGGCAGAAACATAATTATTAAAAATTGTATTAGCTAAATGAATAACAAATCAATCGAAAGCTATTATACATACTTTGTCAAAATCCTTCACTAGTTTAGCCTCAATGGAAGAATTATTCTCATATTCTGTCCAGAGTTCTTTTATTTCATCAGCTGCATGCACAAAGTTTAATAAATAATAAAATGATAATTCAACTCGTAAAGCCCACGAACTACTTGTTTAAAAGGAACAACATAAAACTCATGGCATACCCCTCATCCCTCCGCCAAGAATTTCACACATTTCACTCAGAGCAATCTGCTCACGTCTGCTTTTTTCGGACTTGGGCACTCCATCCGAGGGGGTGATATCACCAACAATAGCTGACATATTAATCCAAACAATATCAAATAAGAACAGGCTAGTATTATTTTTTTAACAATTAGACAAGCAAGACTTGTGGTGCTACAGCAATATGTTGATACCATATGCACTAGAAACCACGCCTTTGGCATGTTCAACATAGACTAAAAACAATAAAAAAAAGTATTATTTTTTTAACAATTAGACAAGCAAGACTTGCGGTGTTACAGCAATATGTTGATACCATATATATTTCTAAGAATGCACTAGAAACCACGCCTTTGGGATGTTCAACATAGACTAAAAACAATAAAAAAAAATTTCAAAATGTGGTGCAAATGTTACACAAGTGCCTAGCCTAAGGGCAATTTAGAATTTTATTATTATTGTTATTGTTCGGTATAAATATGCTTATGTTTAGGGTTAGTTTGAGGCAGAATATTGTTATTATGAGTCTTAGGCTCAGGATTTGGAAGAGGTTTCCTACCTCTCAAATTATAGGAATTGAGAGAGATGACCTACGTTTTAAATTGTAGGTGTTTATCTATGTATTTAGATTGAGTTATTTGGATTATTAAAGAAAAAAAATTACTAAGCCCTAATTTCTGTGAAATTTGTGTCGATTTCTGCATCCAGTCATATCAAATTCATATCAAAGCTCAAGATTCTGGGAATCAGAATGACAGAAAAGAGGACCGAATGACTCGACAGAAGCTAAAACGAATCGAGGCTTATTGGGAGACGATTTCAGCGTACAAAGGTTAACAATCGCTCAGGATTTGGAAGATATTTCCTACCTCTCAAATTATAGGAATTGAGAGAGATGGCCTACGTTTTGAATTGTAGGTGTTTATCTTTGTATTCAGATTGAGTTATTTGGATTATTAAAGAAAAAAACTACTAAGCCCTAATTTCTGTGAAATTTGTGCCGATTTCTATCCAATCATATCAAATTGGCATCAAAGCTCAAGATTCTGGGAATCAGAATGACAGAAAAGAGGATCGAATGACTCGACAGAAGCTAAAACGAATCGAGGCTTATTGGGAGACGATTTCAACGTACAAGGGTTAACAATCGCTCGATTCGACGTGTCCTAGTGTGTGAACGACGAGGTCTGGGATGCTGTAGTAGGGATTTGTGTACATACTTGAAACTCCCATTCTTCTCTTCCTTCTGCTCCGTCCTCGCAAGAAATCATGACAAGAGCTAATTGGGAAGGCTGCGACGGGGAAGTGGCATACAAAGACCTTAAACTCCATTTTTTCCCTCCTCCAAGACAGTCTTCACGTCCAGTCATGATCATAGCTGGATGCGAAGGCTCCACGAACTACCGCGCTTAATAAAGCCCCGACACCCCATCTTCCACCTCCTCTTGCTCCATGGAAGCGACAGAGCTAATTGGGAAGACAGCGACTTGGAAGCGAATACAGAGAACAGAAAATCACGACTTTCTCCTCCTGTTATGTCTTGCAATAGAGCCGCGAGTTCAACTGGAAGGGAAGGCGACGACAGCATCATGTCTTCCATCTCATGTGAAGACTGACGAGATCGCTACTATACAGAGGGTGGGATTACTGTTTGCAGAGCTGTGCATTTTCCTTTGTGAAGCAAACACGAAGTGGGCATACAAAAATTTGCGAGGGAACAAATAATGGGATCACGTCTTCCGCTCCTATGAAGATTGACGGGATCGATGCAATACAGAGGGTGGAATTGTTGCATATAGAGCTGCACCTTTTCCTTCGTGAAGCACACACGAAATAGGTGTATAGGAGTCTGTGGGGTAAGCAAAAAATGGGATCACTATGTACAAAACACGATACAGTGGTGAATTTAACCTACTGGGAGAGCCGACGAGATCGCGGCATTCATTAACGTGATTCAACCACAATTTGAGCATGCTTGGGAGCCGAAGGGGTTGTATAGAACCATGACCGAAGCCTTGCGATACAATCGTGGTTCAGGTTATCAGGGAAATAGAAGGAATTAAGACAATGGGGAAGGTTGTGACGGGATCGAGTATACCCTAATCATGATCCTAGAAGTCAACAACCGGATTCAGGATCAAGTGTACCCTAGTGATACGAAGTAACGACGACCAAGAAGATAGACAATTTGGCGAACAAATTGGAAGAAGAGGTGGAGTACAATTGATTTGAGAACTTCGAGGAGATGCTGAGGAAGTTTATTGAGATGCAATCCAAGACCCCGCCGACGATTCAGTTTGCAAGCCCTACCCAAAAATTGACCAAGGATTAGATTGGGCGAGAGGAATATGAGGAGAAAAACATTCACCATTAAGAACCTCCTCCTAGAGTTCCAATGGGGAGTGGATTAGAGATTTTCGATGGTGACGGGTGGGCCAAAACATGGAGAAAGGAGTTATGGAAGGGGTATGGAGGAGCACGATGAAGAAAGTAGAGAAGCAGGAGGAATATGGCTATCATCGAAAGAGGGAGTTTTACCCTCGATACATGGGGAAAAATATTAGATGAAGAGGAAGTTGTCGTGTTGATACTAGGCTTAGGAAGTTGAAGATGTCGATTTTCGAGGGAGAAGACGCGCATGAGTGGGTGTATTTGATACCGGAACTAGGAGAAAGAACAGTGGACCTAAAAAAATATAAACTTTTATTAGTATTGAAATAAAGTTACAACACGACTCAAACAGAAAGAAAATAAAATAATAGACGAATCAGCGGTTAGGGATGTAAGAAGAGTTGGTGACGATGTCAGTGGGTGAGTGGTTGTTTGGGTAGGTAGGGGTTGTGTTTGGTTGGATGTATATAGGTTGAACGGCGAGGTCGTGGAGGAAGTAGGGGTGGAAGTAGTGTGGTGAAGTAGGGGGTGGTAAGCAGCTAAGGTGAAAGGTAGGAAAAGATGTAGTGGAGAAGTGAAGAAGATTGGGAGTTTACAACACCACCTCGGAGCAAGATACAGCTGAAGCACCACCTGTCGTCGAATACATCCCTAACAAGAGAGAAGAGACTCTACACAAGATATTAAAAGACCACTCTACTAGAATCAACTCCCTGGACACAGAGGACAATAATTTATAGATTCCCGCTAGACAAAGAAAACTTCTACACAAAGAAAGAGGGTGGAAAGTAAAAAGAATCCAGAAAAACCCAATATTGCATAGTCAGCATCTTCCTGAATTGAGTAGGTTTGCGATCCCTCACCAACCCTCGCACGGGTTCGTAATTCTGCCCACCCCACTGTTCCCGCGAAGATTTGCGTGCCTTCTATCCTGAAGAAACGACGCGCCACGCATTGGGGTACATTTAGTGGCCGCACTCCGGCGCTGATTCAGCACCTGCATCAGTCTCCTGGGATTGGGAAAGCTTCAACCTCTTTTGTCGAAGCTCTAGGCTCTTCAAAATATGGTGTCAAGTCAGCGACGTTGAACATGGCTAAAGTTGTAGTCCCCAGGCAGTTTGATCTTATAAGCATTATCGTGCAGTTTTTGAAGTACTCTGAAAGGTCCTTCTACTTTCGACTTGAGCTTCCCAAATGATCCTACGGAAAATCTTTCCTTTTCTAACCGAACCCATACAAGGCCGCCTTCCTGAAATGTCACTTTCTTCCTGGATTTATTTGTTTGTGTCTGATATTTGCGGTTCTGCTTAACAATTTTCTTGCCAACTTCTTCATAGAGCTTTTGAATCTCATGTACTCGTTTAGTCGCATCCTTGTGGTTTCCGGAGATGGTAGGAGCAGCACTAATTCTAGTGGCGTGAGCGGATTGTGCTCGTACAAAATTACAAAGGGAATTCGTCCAGTAGTTTCACTGATGGATTGTTTATAGGCAAACTTAGCTTGGGTTAGTATAAAATCTCATTGTCTTATGTTTTTTCCCACAAAACATCTCTGAAGTTTAACGAGGCTCCGGTTTACCACCACTGTTTGTTCGTCTGTCTGTGGATGAGCTATCGAGCTGACTTAGAGTTTGGTACATAGCTTTCCCCACAGTGTCCTCCAAAAGTGGCTCGAAAATTTGACATCTCTGTCGGAGACGATGGTCTTAGGAATTTCATGCAACCTTGCAATATCTCTAAAGTATAGATCGGCGATGTGAGAAGCGTATAGTATCCGGTGGCAGGGTACAAAGTGGGCCAACTTGAAGAATCTGTCTACTACAACCATTACGGAGTCCTTATTTCTTTGGATCCTTGGAAGTCCTAACGCAAAATCCATGCTAACGTCCACCCACGACGCCTTTGGTACTGGAAGTGGTGTATATAATCCGAAGTTCTGAGCTCTTGTCTTTACTAGATGAAAAATCCTGCATTGCTTGACATGTCGTTCTACATCTCGTCATTTTTGGCCAAAAAAATGATATCTTACAAGGGCGAGGGTCTTGTCCCTGCCGAAATAACCTGCTAGTTCTCTACTGTGGACTTCTTGGACAATGACTTCACTTAGTAAACACCGGGGAATGCACAACTGACCCTGGTGGAACACGTATTCATCACTGCAGTAATATTGCCTTGCTGACTTCTCCTAACATCGCTTCCATATGTTTTTAAATTCTTCCTTTGTTTCATATAGATCCCTTATGACCTCGAAGCCCACAACTCGAGCCTGCATGGATGTGATCAATTGGTATCGATGACTCAATGTATCTGCTACACAGTTCTGGCTTCCCGCCTTGTGTTTTAACACAAACTTGAATGGGGCTAGAAATTCCACCCAGGTGGCATGTTGTCACCTTAGTTTGCTCTGGTTGTTGAGGAATTTTAGGGCCTCGTAGTCTGTAAATTATGTAAATTTGTTTGTCAATAGGTAATAACTCCAGTATTCTAGAGCTCTTACGGCGGCATAGAATTTTTTGTCATATGAAGAATATTTTCTCCTGGCCTCGTTCAACCTCTCACTAAAGAAAGTGATAGGGTGTCCTTCATGGCTTAATACTGCTTCGATCCCTACACCGGAGGCATCACATTTTACCGCAAAAAGTTAGTTGAAGTCAGGTAGAGCTAGCACGGGTAACTAAGTCACATTTTCTTTCAGTGTGTCA